GCGGTAAGCGTAGCGCTTGCCGTGCACCTTGCTCATGATGTTCTTGTCGTAGTAGTAGCGCAGCGCGCGGCTCAGCTTGTCGTAGTTCATGTTGGGCTTGCTCTTGCGCTCGCCCCAGCGCCGCGCCACCTCGTCCGGGTCCGTGAGCTTGAACTCGCCGTGGCCACCCTCCCACGCGATGCAGCCTGCGTTGGCACGGTCCGCCAGCAGCTCCAGCAAAAACTGCCACAGCTGGATCTGCCCACTGCCTGTGGGGAGGGGGTCGTCAGCCACGGGCGGGATGGGGGGCTGGAGGTGGGGAAAGGGGTGAGAGGAGACGGGAGACCAACCCAGCTGGAGGGGCGGGCCAGGGAGGGGCTGATCAGCAAAGCTGTCCTAGTCGTGACCCCGCTTTTCCACAATAGAAACACAGCCTCCACTTAGGAGGACCAAGGCCTGCCAGCGCCTGGCTTTGTGAGAACTGGGAGCAAGGGCGAAGCATCACCTCCTCTGCAAGGAGGCAGCCTGGCAGCAAGACACTGGGCTCCCTAAGGTGAGCAAGGACAGGATATCAGCCCCTGCGGCCACTTGGGCCCGAGTCCTAATTGGAGCAGAGCCTGCACAACCACGGGGGTAGCCTGCCCAGGTGTTTAAACTGTCACATCCCAGCTGGACCACATTCCGAGAGCCAGAGAGAGGAGACCACCGTGCAACAGGACCACCCTGGCCACTGGACAATGCCCAGCCCCTAAAGGCATACAGTCAGTCCGCTGGCCGCCTGAGCTGGGGAAGAGGTGGTGGCTGGTTTTTTTGCCGCATAACTCAGGCAGGAATGGGGACAGGGGCCCCAGGCATGAGAGGAAGGGCAGCTTCTGAAGGCTCTCTACCCTCCTATACCCCTCCACTCCCCCCTCCTCCCCACTCCTCCCATGGTCTGGCGATGAATAGGTTGGGCCTCTTTTTTGGAACAGGCGGGATTCCTGGCCTGCAAAGTTGCTATACTTCCCCGGGAGATGCACAGCTCTGAGGAGAGGGGCTGAGACTGGGAAACCGACACACTTAGCTCCCTGCCTTCTCCCATCTTTGGTTCACCTCCAGGCTCTTCTGCCCTCTCCCTGTTCTGGGGTTGTTGGAAGTGACAAGGAGGTTTCCCCAGATATTAGTGTGAGGAGAGTCAAATGCCCCAGAACTCCCACTCCCCTGTATTTGAGCCTCAATCAGACAAGCAGAGACAAATCTTGATATACACCCACCCCCACCCCCTTTTAGAATAAAATGGATTTTTCTCAAAGTCTGATTTCATCCAATCGAGCCTGGGGAACCTCTCTTTCTTTTTCAATGACTCGCTCAGAACTCAGATGCTGCCCCCCATAATTTCAACCCCAATCCCTCCACAAGAGCCCAGAGAGGAGCTGCCTGGCTCCAGGTAGGGAGTGTTGGGTTTTAGGTCAGAAGCAAAGGAGGGTTTGGGTAAAAATGTGCAGCTGGTACAGATGCAGAGCGCCATCGGAGGCCTGGAAACGCATTCCTGATGGAAGTCCTGTTCCCCTTTGAATAAAACTGTTGCCGGCCTTGTTTTTATGATTAACTGCAACCATGCAATTTAGGGTACCGACTGGATGGGGAGCTGTAGGGAGGCTTTGCCTGCAAGGCCAGCCAAGCCCCACCAGCAAGGCAAAGCAGAAGGTAATGCAGCCGCCGTGGAGAGCTGGCCTTGAACATAGGAATCCACAGCAATGACCCAGGGACTTGGCGGGAAAAGCCTGGCCGCTGCGGGTCAGTGAGTCAGGTAGGTGCCAGTGGTGCTAGTGGTCAGGGAGTAAATCTCCTGGTCTCTTTCTTTGCCCAGTGGTGCCAGGGCCTTGTGCTCCTGTTGCTAGCAAGGAAAGGATGCCAAGCACCTCAGCCTGTCCCCAGAAGAGTGAGTGGGGGCCATGATCCTCTCCCTCAGCCCTGAGACTTGGAAGATGCAGGAGCTCAGGCCAAGTGAATGCGTCCCCCCCACCCCCATCCTTCCCACAATTATGCCCGGACCCTCCGATTCCTAGAGCGCTGCAGTTCACATCCCTCCCACCCCCTGTTCTGGTAGCGGTGCCGCCTGTCCTTGGGTGGATGCCCTGGCTCCCGTCCTCTGTCTTCGCCCCCGCCTACCCAGTCCACCAGCCAGCTCACCTTTTTGTACCGCAGGGCTCAGCGGCCCCCACCCCGGGCTCTTCCCCTCCTTGAAGAGACCTTCTCCGACCGGATCTGTGGCAGCAGAAGAAAACAGTCAGAGGGACCTAGGCAGAGGTTGCGGGCTTGACCCAAAGGGCCCTGGGGCCAAGGCTCCAGAAGGGGAGTGAGGCTGGGGGCCCGAGCTGCCC